AAAAAACAGAAATAGAGAGCGGTGAGTCGTGAATCGTACTGACACCTGGGAATAGCTGCACCTTTTCAAAAGACAATCACACGCCTGGGAAAAGGTACCTTTAAATTATTTATGTTAAAAATAGTCCCTGAGAAAACATACAACGGGATCGTCACAGTTGACCCAATCGTCCTTCGATCAGGCGCCTCTGTTCACGATCTGTTCACCACTACACACCCGTCCTCATGGGCTTCACCACCATATCCGCCCCCGTGGGTTTCATCACCATACTCGTCTTCATGTGTTTTACCACGACCCTGTTTCCGTGGGTTTCATTACGTGCCTGTCCCCGTGCGTTTCAGCGCCATACCCGTTCCCATGGGTTTCAATACACATCCGTCCTCATATGGGTATCACCAGCATATCCGTCCACGTGGGTTTCACCACTATATATGCATCCCGGTGGGTTTCACCACCATGCCCGCCCCTGTGGGTTTCACCACCATACCCGTCCCCGTGAGTTTCACCAACATGCCGTCCCCTTGGGTACCATACCCCTACCGGTGGGTTTCACCACTATACCGGTCCCGGTGGGTTTCACCACTATACCCGTCCACGTGGGTTTCACCACCATACCCGTCCCGGAGGGTTTCACTACCATACCCGTCCCCGTGGGTTTCATCAACATGCCGTTCCCTTGGGTACCATACCCCTCCCGGTGGGTTTCACCACTATACCCGTCCCGGTGGGTTTCACCACTATACCCGTCCCCTTGGGTTTCACCACTATGCCCGTCCCGGTGGGTTTCACCACCATATCCGTCCCCTTGGGTTTCACCACCATATCCGCCCCGGTGGGTTTCACCACCATACCCGTCCCTGTGGGTTTCACCACCATATCCGTCCCGGTGGGTTTCACCACCATACCCGCCCCGTGGGTTTCACCACCATACCCGTCCCGGTGGGTTTCACCACTATACAATAATAATAATAATAATTATAATAATAATGTGTCCATTTATACAACGCCAAACTCCACACCAGGTATGCTCATAGCGCTAACAATCAATAAAGCATTATTGAAGTCCATAGAACTTTTTGTAGAGAAAGGTTTTGAGGTGACCCTTAAAGTTTTCAAGGGTTGGAGACAGCTTAAGGTCATCAGGGAGAGAATTCCTACTGACCGATGCCATGTTCTGGTAAGACTTGTAGCCAAATGATTTGAGGTTCCACTTTGGTACACAGAGCAGATTAGATGAGGATGAACGCAGAGTTCTTGTTGGCATGTAAGGAGAGAGGAGTTTTTGAAGATACACAGATGCAATACCATGAATGGACTGATAAGCAAGTGTAAGGATCTTATAGTCAATGCGAGCTTCAATAGGCAACCAGTGAAGAGACATCAGGGTGGGGGTGATGCAGCAATGTTTAGGTTGGAGAGTAACTATGCGGGCAGCTGTGTTCTGGATTCGTTGAATCTTTTGGATGGACTCTTGTGAAGCTGCAACCAACAAGCTGTTGAAATAGTCAAGTCGTGAGAGAATCAGTGTTCTCACCAGGGCAGCCGCAGCATCCTGTGTCAGGAGATGTCTGATCTGTCCAATGTTACGCAGATGGATGTAACATTTTCTGCATACATCCGAGATCTGTTTCTTCATGGAGAGGTCAGATTGGAGTAGGACGCCAAGATTTCTGACATATGGAGAAGGCCGAATGACCATACCTCCAACTTTCAGCTGATCATGTTGTGATTTTACTAACATGTTACCTGTGCCAACAATCATAACCTCTGTCTTGTGTTCATATAGTTTTCTGCAAATCATTAACAACACGGAGCAGAGCTGTCTCCATGCTCTGGAATGACCTATAGGCAGACTGGAATTTGTGATAGAGGTCATGTTTACTCAAGTGCTGACCAAGTTGCACCTTCACAGCTCTTTCAAGTACCTTGGAGAGGAATGGTAGATTAGACACCGGCCTATAGTTATTGAAACAGGTGGAGTCTAAACCAGGTTTTTTCAGCAAAGGTTTCACAATTGCATGCTTGAAACAACCAGGAACAGTGCCACATTTCAAGTACAAGTTGACAATCTGAGTGAACACAGGAGGTAAGATGTCAAAATATTCCAAGACATATTTAGTAGGGGCTGGATCAAGTACACACGTTGTGCCTTTTGATTTTCTGATGATGCAGCGAACCTGTTCCTCAGTGAGCAGGTCAAAGGAATCAAAACTCTCACCTTGAAAGAGTGCACCAGTTACAGCAATTGACTCAGGAGAAAATTCTTGCCTAATCTTCTATATCTTAGAAGAAAAGAACTTGCCAAAGTCGTTTGCAAGAGTCAAAGCATCTTCTACATTAGGTAGAGTAGTGTTTGACGTCTTTCCAAGTAAGGAAAAATTCTGCTGATTGGAGAATACATTATCATTGCATTATAGTGACTTTGTATCACGAATCAGTAGGTTTAATTCATTACGAGCCATGTTGTACAACTGCCGATGAATTTCAAGCCTGTTTTTTCTCCACTTACGTTCCGCTCTTCGCCTGCGAGAAGTATCTGATCATTGTACCATTGTGGTTCATGCCTGAGTCGCCTGTATCTTGTGACACAAGGGGCATGAGAATCCAAGAGTTGTGTTATAGAGATCAGCAAGTTCATTCACATCCTCTGGTGGCTCTGTGAGTAACTTTGAAGACTGAAGATCCCTAGCAAAGTCTTCACGGGAAACAAGCTTAAGGTTCCTACACTGGACTTCAACAGGATTCTCAGCTGGTTTGAGAAAATTGAGTTCTACAACAAAGTGATCAGATGATTGTCTATCTTCAACAAGGGTGTTTTGCACCACATCTTCTTGATGCCGAGCAACTATCCAATCAAGTGTGTGACCGTTCCTGTGAGTAGGTTCAAAAACAAACTGGGTAAGACCATGTGACTCCAGCAGCTTGACACATTTCTGGATTTACATGCACTGTCATAATGAACGTTAAAATCACTCATCAATAGCAAGTTTCCATTTTTCAAAGTGATATCATCCAGTAGTTTTGAAAAAATCATCATAAAACTGGCCAAAGGAAAACTTGTTTGCCTTCGATGACGGTGGCATATATAGGCAGAACAAGCGTAGCGCTTGACTATTTACTGTTAATAATGTTTCCATCATTTCAAAAGAAGAATATGAATATGTGGAAGTTCTATATATACTACCAAGTTCAAGAGTGTTTTATGAATAACAGCCACACCTCCTCCAGAAGAATGTTTGCGTGGAACATTTTGAAAAGAGTAAGCAGAAGGAGTCATTTCCTGAATCTTGGGCTCATCACCTTGACTCTTCAGCCATGACTCTGTGATGAACAGAATATCCATACTGTGTTCAATAAGTGAATCAGCAATGTACAGGGAATTATTCCTGGCTGACTGTGCATTCTACAAACATAGTTTCAAGTGTGGTGATTTCTTTATAGGGTGTACGGCAATCAGATTTGAATGATCCACAGTTTTAACATTTGAAGCAGAATCAGATCCCTCAAACACAGTCGCTTGCGCCTACATGTAGGCTTTGGTACACCTATTCCCAGCTGACGCACCTTATGTAAGACATCAACTGGTAGACTATGTCCATATGCACATGTATAGTTGAAGGCAAGTAGTTGTCCCTCTGTGTAGACAATCATCCTTTGTTGATCAATCACAGGTGACCAAGAGTAAGCTTCTCAACTGATTGGTATATTGTCATTGTTCAAGGCCTCCATCCATCCTTTTTTAATGAGACAGGATAGACATATTATCAATTGTACTTGACACTGACTCATATGTACATGTTTTAAAGTTGAAAAATTCCAAAAAGATGCTTGAACACAAGACAAATGACCAGGACAAGTGTTGCAGATTCAAAGAGCTGTGTAACTAGGTGAAATAGCAGATAATTGTCAGAGCAAAAGTAACAGCTGCCTGTCAAGGCGCAAGTCATCACCTCTAAACCCGTCCTGATGGGTTTCACCACCATGCACGTCCCGGTGGGTTTCACCACTATACCCGTCCCGGTGGGTTTCACCACCATACCCGTCCCGGTGGGTCTCACCACCATATCCGTCCCAGTGAGTTTCACCACCATACCCGTCCCAGTGGGTTTCACCACCATACCCGTCCCCGTGGGTTTCACCACTTTACCCTTCCTACCAAAGTGCTCTGCCTCACTTCACTTCCCACATTAAACCGGCACGCCGTCCAACCCGGCGTTATACCAACCTTACTGATTCCATGTATGTTTGTAAGTTGACACAAACATACAATATGGACACGTGCAAGGAAAACAGGTTCCAGTTGTTAAGTTCAATTCTCATTTAAGTTCTTAGTTGACAATAGACGTCGAGAGAACACTTTTTTGTATATATGTTTTCATGATTATGTTTTGTATATTTGTAATTTAACACCGCACCCACAATATTCGAGCTCCTTGACGAGGGCCTCTTGGTGTTCCTGTATCTGAACAACAAACAGGTGACTGATATTGTAAGTAACGATTCGTTAATACTAAACTGGAATCCCTACGAGATTGCACATGTAGCGAAGTAAACACGTGCTTCTTGTATGCGTATGTGTGACTGCAATGGACGTAAGCGCACGTGTGTGTGTCCTTGTAATATTCCGCACCAATGCTTGTTTTGTGGTACTAGCTAACTGAGATACCAAGCCTAAGATACCCAAGCCAGACACAGTATGCCGAGTCCAAGCCGATCAGTCCTTGTTTTACCCCTGCATTTAAATTTGTAATTGCTTCTGGTACGAAGCTGGCTAGAATCGAATCACCCCCCTGCCGCTCTTCGTTCAACCACTCTATCCGCTGGACCACGAAGACACCTATACTTCTTCTGCACGAGTTCGTCTACGTGGGCGTGATCTGCTGGCGGCATGGGGCCTTTCTTTATGATGTGGGGCACAGATTTCCCCTCACTCCCAGAGTGTATGCAGACTTTAGGTCACAAAATGTTGCAAAGGACTGAGAACATTACTTGTATTAAATGCCATAGTGTTTATTTTACTCATGTTATATACATGTAATGTACATTTAAAACGGTATACTTGCAAACCGTGGAAATTATGACAGTAGAGAGTTGTAATAGTCTTATTCATTTATTGTATAATAAGTGAACTCGTCTTTTTGTGCTTAAAGATGTTTACATATATACATTTGTACATATATAGATACTAATGTGTCTTACTGTGTTCCCGAAACGAGTCACATGTTTTGTATCAAATAAGTGTCAGAAATACTGTTGAAAAGGTAAAAAGAAATCATATTGATAATGTATTGAAAATACGTGATGAGGAGGTCCAAGAAACACATGTTAAAGAGGTCGAAGAAACACGTACTGTATTCAGAAGGTACAGAGACCTCGTGTCTAGATGGTGCTAGAAATACATGGTCAGAAGGTACAGAAAACTCTTGTCTAGATGGTGCTAGAAATACATGGTCAGAAGGTACAGAAAACTCGTGTGTAGATGGTGCTAGAAATACATGGTCAGAAGGTACAGAAAACTCGTGTCTAGATGGTGCTAGAAATACATGGTCAGAAGGTACAGAAAACTCGTGTCTAGATGGTGCTAGAAATACATGGTCAGAAGGTACAGAAAACTCGTGTCCAGAGGGTGCTAGAAATACGTGGTCAGAAGGTACACTCGTGTGTAGATCAGTGCTAGAAATACACACAGAAAACTCGGTGTAGATGGTGAAAATACATGGTCAGAAGGTACAGAAAAACTCGTGTCTAGATGGTGCTAGAAATGGTCATGGTCAGAGAGGTGCTACATGGTCAGAAGGTACAGAAAACTCTTGTCTAGAGGTGCTAGAAATACATGGTCAGAAGGTACAGAAAACTCGTGTCCAGAGGGTGCTAGAAATACATGGTCAGAAGGTACAGAAAACTCGTGTCTAGATGGTGCTAGAAATACATGGTCAGAAGGTACAGAAAACTCTTGTCTAGATGGTGCTAGAAATACATGGTCAGAAGGTACAGAAAACTCTTGTCTAGATGGTGCTAGAAATACATGGTCAGAAGGTACAGAAAACTCGTGTCTAGATGGTGCTAGAAATACATGGTCAGAAGGTACAGAAAACTCTTGTCTAGATGGTGCTAGAAATACATGGTCAGAAGGTACAGAAAACTCTTGTCTAGATGGTGCTAGAAATACATGGTCAGAAGGTACAGAAAACTCTTGTCTAGATGGTGCTAGAAGTACATGGTCAGAAGGTACAGAAAACTCGTGTCTAGATGGTGCTAGAAGTACATGTTCAGAAGGTACAGAAAACTCGTGTCTAGGGGGTGCTAGAAGTACATGGTCAGAAGGTACAGGAAACTCGTGTCTAGGGGGTGCTAGAAATACATGTTCAGAAGGTACAGAAAACTCGTGTCTAGGGGGTGCTAGAAGTACATGTTCAGAAGGTACAGGAAACTCGTGTCTAGGGGGTGCTAGAAGTACATGGTCAGAAGGTACAGAAAACTCTTGTCTAGATGGTGCTAGAAATACCACTGCTAGAAATAAATGTTTAGAAGGTACTAGAACGAGGGGCTGGGGAGGTCCTCGAAATACACATTCTGAAGGTGCTAGGAAAACGTGTACAAAGGTGCTGAGAAGCTTGTTTGTTTAACCTGTACCACTTTCTGGTTAGACCTTTTCCCTTTTATGGTGCTACATACATACATACGGGTTCCACTTTCTCCAAGTAATGGTACTCCATTTACCCACGTAATATTTACAGAATGTACGTGTCATGAAAAATAAATTTAGTTCTGTGTCGGATTTACTGAGAATATTGAACGCCACGAATGAAAAGCCCAGACATGGCCTTCTGGTACTGTTAAGTGTAAACGCTACGTTATTGATATACACTTATATACGTGCAGTTCACAAAGGGTTGTTTCTTGAGACTCAAGCTGTATTGACTTCAGTATTTGTATACACATCCTGTCAGAGATTCTATACAATAGCTTGAAACGTTGCTCATGAAGAATACAGAGGGTTGAAAATCATATATCTTCGATATGTTTTTCATGGTAGTGCCATAAACGTATTTATTGCAAGTTTGGTATCAAGTCTATGTGGTATTGCTAATATTCAATGTAAAATAACATACATCTATGAGACATTAGCTTAAAACACCTTGAAATCACAAAAGCTATTTTTGTAATGAAATGTATTTGTCACTAAAATGCCGTTTTGTCACATTTATCATTTTATATCAGCTATAATACTGCTGAAACAAATATATATACTCATGATATGTCACAATTGTACAATCGACTCTGATTTTAGCAGAGATTTCTTATGGATATGGAAAGGTTTTGTCGCTTCTATTCTTGTCATGGAAAATATTTACTGTCAAAATCTTTGTTGATTTTGTGATTTCATTGTGTGCAATATATAGACAAAAACGCCTTAAGATTATGCATTATAAGTTCTTTGAGAGGTATTTTAGAAGTTGTAAAGCTTGATAACGGGGTTTGTACCTACACCGAAACGTCGCACTCATTGCGATAAAGTAGTGGACTATCCATAGAACTTGGTTTTCCTTCATCATCCGTTATGATTGTTTGTTTAATAACGGTTTCAACATAACATTTGATAAACATAAGTGTTAATTATAATACTTATGTCTTTTATACAAAAAACATGAAATATTGCAGTTTTTCTACGCAGCTAATACTGTGGTTATGTAAAGTAAGTGAATTATATTGTTAACAAATATGTTTGTTTAACAAACTACAATATGCATATGTACGTTATCACAGTCTGGTGTAAATAGATATGCATGATGTGCAACACCCAGTATGATATTTTCAATGTGGCGGTGCTGGTGGTGAAATTACCCTGCTGTATGTGTGTGTGTGCGTGTGTATGAGATAGTGTGTGTGTATGTCTGTATGTATGTTATTTGTGCATGTCTATGCCTGTGTCGTGTGTGTGAGAGAGTGCATGTATGTATGTATGTATGTATGTATGTATGTATGTATGTATGTATGTATGTATGTATGTATGTATGTATGTATGTGTGTGTGTGTCTTTGAGTGCGTGCGTGAGCGTTCGCAAGTGTCTGTTTGTCTAAGCACCAGGCGTGGTAACAACAATTACCACATGTTAACGTCTTACAGGCCGAGGCTAGGCTACATATCACATATCACTTTCAAGTACAGACAAAACGCATGTGAACATCTTCTCCAATCTATTTACATGACGACACGAAACATATAGCTTAACATATAAATATTTATAGGGAGGTTATGCGTGTACTTCTCTTATTATTTTCAATTATAACAACTGGTAAAAATATAGACGATCTCCTTTGATTAAATGCGTAAAATGTCAGATAAAATACACATGTACAATACGTACCTGTACACAGAAAACATGAGTGAGTATAGTTTTACGCCGCTTTTAGCAATGTTCCTGCAACATCACGGCTTGGAACAGCAGAAATGGGCTTCACACATTGTACCCATGTGGGGAATCGAACCCGGGTCTTCGGTGTGATGAGCGAACGCTATAACCATTAGGCTACCCCACCGGCCCCAGAAAACATGAACACAATGAACACATCATGCAGATTCTATACACAATAAAACTGGTAAAAATATGCACACACACAACATCCCGTGATTAATCTTAGTATCAAGTGAGTGAGCGAGTGAATTTAGTTTTACGCCGCTTTTAGCAATATTCCAGCAATATCACGGCGGGGGTCACCAGAAATTGGCTCCACACATGTGGGGAACTGAACTAGTATCAAGTGAAGTCTATATGCACCTATGACTAGGATTAAAGAAAGTAATGGCTTGATAATGGCTTGACAAGAAACAAACTGAAAATAGTTATTCGAAGATGATGTATTTGATAGAAATACATCGAGTACATCAAGAGGTATCTCAAATCGGGCTGGGGTCGGTGGGGTAGCCTAGCGGTTTTGATAACCCTTGTAACTGGTGTCCAGCTTTCAGTTGTATACTTTTGCCCTTCTGGTTTTTTTATCGTGCAGACTAAGTGTAACTCTAACACCGGTATATTAAACGCGTTGTCACTGGGGCTCAGATTGCATTTAAAATATCGTCTATTATACACAGGAAGCCTCAAATGTGCGGAACTATATAGTATGCAGGTATTCATTCTCACTCACTCACTCACTCACTAGCTCACTCACTAGCTCACTCACTCGCTCACTCACTCTCTCACTCTCTCACGCACGCACGCACGCACGCACTCACTCACCTACCCAAACACCCACCCACCCACTCTCCAACTCACTCACTCACGCACTCACTGGCCTTATTCATGTTCTTGTTCAGGTCCATGTTTTGCGAAACAAGAGTCATGCATACATTCTTGTGTAATTTCACATTTAGGGACTTATTTCTTCTTTGATAAGACGAACTGACACATATTCAGAATATCCAATAAAATCAAAAACCCAAACGTAATGGTCAACATACAAATACCTAGGTAGCCAAAGTTCTGAGCAGACGGGCGCTCGTCATCAGCGCTGGTTTTAGCGCGAATGTAGGCCGATAGTGTCTTGGCATCAAGGGTTAGGTTTATTTTAATATCTATGTCATATTGTTCCAGAAATTGTTGGGTTTCGTTGGGCAAAATCACCCTCTCACCACACCTACAAAGACAAACCTCCTGTAAGCCTCCCGTGCTGTTCTCTGTGACAGTAGCGAGCGCCGTTGTCTGCACCGGTGTTGCCGAAACCGACGATGTTATGGTGCTTCCAGTGGGCGATGCAGACACAACTGAACTAGTGACAGCGTTACTGCTGGTAGAGGCGGGAATAGAACTGTAGATTGCGTTACTGCTGGTAGAGGCGGGAATAGAACTGTAGATTGCGTTACTGCTGGTAGAGGCGGGAATAGAACTGTAGATTGCGTCATTGCCGGTAGAGGCTATGGCTGAGCTGGTTACATCGATACTGCTGGTAGAAGTTGCCAGAGGAGAGGAGTAAGTCGCAACATCAGTTGATGGTGCAGCCGTAGTCGATAGGGAAGGCGATGCAGTGCTATCCGCGACCTGAGCAGTCGACACAAATGACGCGTCTGCCGTTGCAGATGAGGAACTGATTACTGGAGTAGAACTTGATACAGCATCACTTGGCATCCCTGATGACGACACGAGATCCATGAGACTTGAAGCTAACAATAACAATAATACACTTGTTTAGATACAGTGATGTAAGGGGCGGTGGGGTAGTCTAGTGGTTAAAGCGTTGGCTCGTCACGCCGAAGACCAGGGTTCGAATCCCCACATGGGTACAATGAGTGAAGCCCATTTCTGGTGTCCCCCGCCGTGATATTGCTGGAATATTGCTAAAAGCGGCGTAAAACCAAACTCAGTCAGTCAGTGATGGAACCTGCAGATTTAGTCTTATTGAGGAGTGACAATACGGTAAAAAGTTAGGTCAGCAATATCTGAGCAATATATGTGTACTGGAAGAATATTCACATTGAGAGGACATCCTGTTCACAACAACTTAATTTCAGGTTTCCGTTTTCAGCATGACAACGAGTGATGAATTATATGAATAAATGGACGTTTAATCTCAATTGGATCCTTCATGCTGCCTCTTGGAGGTCAGAGACATGTTGTCACCACATGATCAGCAATATTTCAGCAATATTTCAGCAATATCGACCTGACCTTATGGAAAATTATTCACAACCATAGCTGATCACACAGACCGATAAACCTATGGTCAGAACCGTCTGCAATTTGAATCAAGCAGGTAAGAGAGGCAACCGACAGTACGACGCCCTTGACCTTGACCCGAGCTTCCTAACAGTTTAGTTTAGTGTAGTTTTACGCCGCACTCAGCAACATTCCAGCTATATGTCAGGAGCTTCCTAACAAGACAGCTTGATTTTTTTCAGAATGAATGGATATTGTCTGTATATTACAGGAATTTCATATTTAGTTTTCATTTGCAAAACTGTACCATCCCATCGTAGGGAAGAAAGCTCGATCTGGTTGATGATTGTGATTGATCAAATCATTACTTTTGAGAAGTAAGCAATAATTATATCGATACTGTCACTAGTCGTACCTAATGATGTAGAATACTCCATACTCTGCGAGGAGCTGTCTTGAAGTGTAGTACTTGGCGTAATATCCATACTGGATGAAAGTGTGACGTCTGCAGACGTTTCAATACTCGATGACGTCATGAGGACAGATTCAGAACCCGGATCTAACGTGGAGGTTACATCAACTGAAAGGCTAGTGGTTGGTTCTGTAAAAGGAATAAATTATTTTGGATTTGAGAGTAGGTAAGAAAGGTTTAAAGTTGAACAGCATTTGAACAAAATGAGTACAAATCACTAATCTGCCACAAGGTTTAGGTGCATACACCTCCGATAAAAGTACCACTAACATTAACTGTAGGGTTGATACACCTACGGAATAAGTACCACACAAACATTAAAGGTCACATGCAACGCAAGACACAACTTTGCAGATTCTGATACCTTTCGGTATGGACTTACAGTAACAAATTATCAAAAATGCAAATTCAACTTATGAAGTTGAAAAATAACGCAATGAAAACAACCCCGCGAAATTGTAGTTCAAGCGATTCACTAAAAGTGGTTTCAACAGCTGTGCTGCGCTGCGTCCATAGCGCATGCGCAGTGATTAGGTTCACGCGGCTTGAACCGGGAAGGCGACTCGTAAAAACACAGCAAGTGATGCGTGCAAGGATTATCGCTGTGGTCGAAGTTGGAGAACAAAAGATTTTTCTTGTGATTACAAGCATCTTGGGTCTGCAGTAATAAAAATACACAGGTCCCATACTTGGTTGCAGATTTGCAAACCAAGTTTTCAAAAAAAGCGTAGCATTAGAAATACTAATTTCTTTGTTAAAAATTGCTCAGCTTGAAAACTGGAATGTAATACATGTCTATGGAAACATAGAAAATATGTTGATTGTGATAAGCAGTCTCTGTCACAGACTAAACTCAGTGTCTGTTTTATTGACACCTATGTGTCTGCCTGCCTGTCTGCTCATGACAATATGCAATGCACAACTTCAATAATTGACCACATGCAATTGGAACTTAACACTTATCAGGCTATACACCATAAACAAAATACAGTGATTTATGGCTCGTGTACCTGAGTCTCTGTCACATTATGTATTACACAGACAGGCAGGTGTGGTACTTGTACACATGACATGTGATTATCTCTGTGGGTTGCAAACAAACTACATCCATTTTTCTAGGATGACTGGATCGGACGGAAACGAGTGCAAACTCAGATTGTCAGTTTCAAGTCCTGCTTTGTACTTGGAAGAACGACAGTTTCCAGCCACGCAGTAGTTCACCATCTCAGTATTTGTTGATTGGATCGAATGCAAATGCAGAGAGCATGTATTTACAAAACCCAACATCTCTATACACATTATTTATGGATAACAACTTCTTTTATTGTATATGATGCGACGTTTCGGTATGGATTCTTATACCGTTGTCACTCTTGCTTGGCACACACACACACACGCACGCACACACACACACATACACAAAATGAGCCCTCAGGGTATCGGCAAATGACTTCGTTACACTTGAGTGCACACCCACCCGCTTTGACTGGGTTTGGTCTCCCGGGTGCTTCGTTTCGAGGGAAGTACACCCAAGTACAAAATATTGCACTTTTGATTCGCGATTGTACGCTTATAATTTTTGTTGTTGTTTTTTTCTCAATCAGCAATGTATATTATATGTCATGAATAAGTGATAAGTGTGTTTTAATTATGGTTGCATATGACCTTTAACTGCAGTTAATTGAAGACCTAGGACTTCTGCAAATGACAATGCCCTGAAAAACAGCGCTTCCCCTATATTTTTTGCTAATTTGTATTACATTTTGTATAAATAGCTATAGCATGGCATTGCTTGTAATATGGTGGACGTTTCACAAGAAAACAGTGTCAGCTGTTATATACATCAGAGTATTGCGTCGAACCTACATTCAGATGTAATCGGTGGATGAAGGTGTCGAGGATGAATGTTTATAGACGGGATGTTCCCAATGTTCCTTCTGTTCATTTTGCCTACAGTCTTATCAAAACAACTTTATGGTTGAGCGGTTTTGAAGTTTGGCCTAGTTCAACCATCAACAGTAATGAACTAGCCCAGTATGCTTGAGTGACTATGCTTTAATTAATCTAATAGGCAGAATGAACTGAAGGTACACTGGTACCAAACCTTCATAGCCGCTGACGACGACTGAAGTCGCCAATGCGAAAAGTGCAAGGTTACTGTGCATTGTTTGCAGCACCTGTCGTTGTAACGAGACGTTGATGACGTTATGTGTGAGTTGTAGGACAAAGCTGGATATATAAGCCATTTATGGCCAAATGTGAATAATAATTTACAATAGCATAAACGGTCTAGATATTGAAGTTGTAAAATACGTTTCGATCTATCGTAACTAGCATTTGTTCTTTTGTTGCATGCAAGTTGTCATAAGACTATTCTTTACAATTTGATTTTAATATATTTTCCAAAATTGTCTAAAACGCCTGTGATCAAAGAGGATTTCATGTTCAAATATCGGCAAAAGAGCTTCCTGAAAACCTCTAAATAGAGCAATTTAGCCGACACCTTTTAACAAATCCATATATTTAGGTTCATGCAAATATGACAAGTGCTACTGCCATTCATAGGACTGACTGACTGACTGAGTTTAGTTTTACGCCTCATTTAGCAATATTCTAGCAATATCACGGCGGGGGACACCAGAAATGGGCTTAACACATTGTGCCCACGTGGGGAATCGAACCCGGGTCTTCGGCGTGACGAGCCAACGCTTTAACCAATAGGCTACCCCACCGCCCCGCCATTCATAGGAACACATATATCAACAAGCGTAATCATTTTCCTCATGTTTTGAATTTTGCAGATCTAGTACGCTAAAATTATCTTTCCTGGACCTATAAGAAAGCTTGAAGATGGCGCTTTAACACATGATGTATATAACACAAACATCATTACAAATATGACGATGGTGTCATCAACAAAGCTATCGCCTTTATATTTCATCTAAAATAGTAATATTGATAAATATGACACAACACAAACGTGCATATTAAGATATAGACTGAAAAACGCCACACAAGCTAGTATCCGATAGGGGTGAAGCGGTACGCTCTTACCACGGTACGGTACTTATTGCGGTACAAGGCCTTCGGTTCGGTCCTTTTCGGTTCGGTATATGGAATATGATCATAATGCAGAAAATTAACAAGAGCCAAACCCTACATTGTTTAATAACATGGAATAAAATAACCATAATATTTGTTATTTGGAATGAACAAAACTATCATTTTATGACTAGTCAGAAATGAAACCGAAAATATCATTTTTCTTTTTATGCATTGCGGTATACCGAACCGAAAGCAAAATACAGCCGTTCTACTATTACCGTGGTATACCGTTTCACCCCAGTATCCGATGTGATTTGTGGGCATGTGGCGGCATGTACGTCCGTGGAAGCTCGTACGTTTAGGATATTGCTGTCAATACTTGTTTAATTACAATTTTATACTTACCCGGCAGAAGTGACCCCAAAGAACCTTTCGCGCATGCGTGTGCATACGTCCTTGACCCATCTGAGGTAACTCCAACGACATATGGTAAGAAGGGAAAGGTGTCGTATGCTTTCATGACAAAAAACCCGTCAGGCACACTCCCCCTATAGGTAGAGACAGTGCTAGCTGAGTATGTGTCAACCACTGTAAAGTTAAACGATTCTCCATTTATATCATATGAAATGGGGACGTCCTTGAAAGCTATAATGTACATTGTATTTACAAATCCAGAAAATGTATAACACTTGAATTCAGTTCCAAGTTGCGAAAAAGTAGCCATAGTTAGAAACAGAGGTTTGTTGTTTACACCAATCCGACATTGCATCCCGACTAGGGATGATGGTGTTTGTACCATTGAAGTTTTGTTGGGCAAGTGTTGGTAAGCGCCAGCTTTGAGCAAGTCAACATTAACCACAAAATCGTTTTCATTAATCTGTAACGATCCCGCTCCTGACGCAACTGCCAAAATCTTGAAGGAATTGCAGATATCCATGTTGACAACAGGAGTAGGCATAGCCCATTTGGACATAGTGGGGGTTTGTTCCAGAGTTTCTCCAATGATGGTTCCTGAGAACACTCCAACGGGTTTATCCGAGGTAAGAAGACTCCCTGACAAGTCTTCCCCTGTGGTAATCTCAATGCCTTGTAGTGCATCTACAGACACAGATATCGTGTCTCCGCTATTGTACGTTACACTTTGCACCGCAACAGGCCCAGTAGACACCAGGGCAATTGTCACTACTGTACCTGCATATGCCGAACCCACTACGTACAGGTTCTTTTCTGGTGATGATACTGGGAAGGACACAAAGGCGTTCTCCATGCCAGCCCCAGTGTAGGGCGCATTTAGGTCTTCGTCAAAAGCCAAAGCCAGATAGGAACTTGTTATTAAACCGCTTGCTTCATTTTGCACAAAGATTGACACCACGTCTGTTGTAGTCACTGTGAGTATGAAGACAGATGAAGACGTATCCTGTATGATGATTGATATCTCCAGTGCGTCTGTGATTGTTTCCGTTTTGGGATAACCAGTTCCAGAGCCGTTGATGGTGATACTTGTGCCTTCTGAGCCCTGGACAAGCAGAGTACACTTCACAGTATTTGTGGACTGGGACCTGGGGCATGCAATGATGTAGTTTTTGCCATCAACTGTATATCCTGGAACTTCAGCTGCAAAAACAAAGGCACACATTAACCGTTCACTTACAATTAATGTAACAGTTTGTTCGTCGTTTAACGCTGCATTCAGCAATATTCCAGCTATATGGCTGTGGTCTGTAAATAATCAAGTTTTGACCAGACAATCATTATACAGATTTTGAAATACATAAAACAAAACTTTAAAAAATATGTTAACGGTGTTTAAAGGGTTTAATTTTCAACGTTAAATTGTCTTTAAGGCATAGTGTTATACGTGCCTTTGGGTAATCAATACTGTTTTGTTCTCGCGTTGACCCTATATTTGTAATCAACGTTTTTAAGTTCACAAACTGACCTGCAATATGTATCTGTCATACAAAGAAGTATTAATTCTGGGAACTAATTAACATGTTTCCAGGTTCCATTTCCTCCCTAGCACTTGCTCTATCAACAACCCGAACCCTGTTTATCCGGACACCCCCACATTCAGGGCGATTGATTTACATGTATGTACAGAGACCTGAGCTGTATCTATAATCCTTGATTTGGATTCAAGAGGTTTCATATACCCGAAGAGGATAGAGCACCTGCCTAGTGGTTCCCATTCTCTGAAACATTGTGTTTTCTGTTACCCTTCTTGGCGCTCAGCATTAAGAGCATATAATAAAGGCTGATAATATATATCTTTGAGAGTTGACATGGCGAGTAAAGGGGCAGATGAAACAACATATCTCTGTATTTACATCAGTGCATGAGATCCGGGTTAGAATTGGTCTTTAGTAACCCGTGCTTGTCGTAAGAGGTGACTAACGGGATCTGGTGGTCTTGCTCGCTGACTTGGTTGACACATGTCATCGTATTCCAATTGCGTTCATCGATGCTCATGCTGCTGCTCACTGGACTGTCTGGTCCAGATTCGATTATTTACAGACCGCTGCCATATAGCTGGAGTATTGTTGATTGTGGCGTTAAACAACAAACCAAACCACCATTAGTGCATACTCTATGTTTAGTTACAGTGTAAAGCAAGGGTACAATGGTCCAATCATAATTACTTTCTAAACAGACCCTTCGAATCCGCTTATGCTCTGTTCGATTCATATGAACAAGAAGTCTGATCGTTCATTTAATCTTTGATGGTAACCTAAATTACCAGAAGCACTAATCGTGACATAAAGACCGCCAAGCATGGCGCATAAGGTTTCACGCGTAAGTTATTTTCGAGAAATGTCAGTAGGATGAATGCGATTATCATACCTCTAGCAATTATGATAATAAGCCTTCGGCACCACCAAGCCGGAAAAACAATGCATTTTTCTACCACACATGAACTTTTATGTAAGAAGGTGTTTTTGAGGATTTAGTTACGTGGTTGCTCAAATTTTCATCTCAGAGATAACCCTTTAAGCTGTCAATAGTCATGGCCGAGTCAGGATGCGCTGATTGTGAGTTCGAATGAAATTCAGTTCTATTTAACAACCTTCGTTTGTTATAACCCTCTAGTGGCACTCGTTTACAAAACGGCCATCTTTTCTCCCACACCAATTTGGGCCCCGTTCCACAGAGCTATCGTAGCGCTACAAACTCTATGTTACAGTATATGAGGTACGACAGTCGTAGCGCTACGATAACTTTGTGAAAAGGGTGCCCTGGGGCTCCTTTCACGAAGCAACCTTTACTAAGGTTAACCTTAATTCCCATTCTTTAACATTGCACTAAGGTTACCTTAGTGACTTACGATCACCTTAGTGCTTTGTGAAAGGAGCCCCTGATCATTAAACTGAATTACAGCTGGAAGAGATTTTGAACCAAATTATCTTCCGTTGGTCTTAATTATTCCAGCAAATTTCCTGCTGTATTTTTCTGTTTTAATTTGTAACACCTTTTCCCGTTTTATTTACGTGTAGAATTTCCTTTCCTTTGCATGCACAGGTGCTCCACGTGGGAGAGTGACTGAGTGAGTATGGTTTTACGCCACTTTTAGCAATATTCCAGCAACATCACGGCGGGGGACACCAGTAATGGGCTTCACACATTGTACCCATGTGGGGAATCGAACCCGGGTCTTCGTCTTGACGGGCAAACGCTTTAACCACTAGGCTACCCCACCGCCCCTCATGTGGAAGAGCGTACAGTCACAAAACACTAGCAATATCACTGTTCGATAGTGATTCATTAGATTCATTGAAACATGTCCAGGATATATTCCAAATTGTACAGACTCGAGATATACATGTATCGTGATAATAGGTTTTATTGCTTTTGGCCCTATAATGAAATCCTCATATGGAATGACCCGATGCTCTTTACAAAATGCACGTTTTTCATGAAAATCGATTAAATTATTTGTTGACATGTTAAAAAATTTACAAAAACGTCCATGTCGATTTTGTTTGTTTTACCTTCCCCGCCTCGAGTCTTGGAACAGTGATGCCTTTATTGGTTTTTTAATAGTGGATTAAAACTCGCGATTATAAATGCATCAAATCAATAAATAGGTATTTACGGAGCTATTGTTCTGTCGGGGAAGTCGTTACTATATTTACTAGCAGTGACTTCCGTCCATGATAATCATCATCCATTTAATACATCGTCATGTTGACAGAGTCGATAACTCCAACTGTTTTACATCAAATTTCATCATGACGTCGCCAAAGAGATTTGAGATAAGCATTATCGAATCGGTGCGAGCGTTCTTTCATTGTGTCCGTTTCGCCTGTGTGGTAACGTGTCCTTTATATTGCCCAAGGCAATGTGGTGCACATTTCCTGTTTGTTTGTCGTTTCCGCTGAAAACTGTGTGTTCGTAATTTGATAATCATAAAATAAACCAGTATTGATATTCAGTAACGTCTTGGTAAGGCTTTTCCACTACAACTACTACTGCTGCTGCTGCTACTACTACTACTACTACTACTACTGCTGCTACTACTACTGCTACTACTGCTACTACTACTACTACTGCTGCTACAACTACTACTACTACTGCTGCTGCTACTACTACTACTACTGCTGCTACTACTACTGCTGCTACTACTACTACTGCTGCTGCTGCTACTACTACTGCTACTACTACCACGACTACTACTGCTACTACTACCACGACTACTACTGCTACTACTAGCACGACTACTGCTGCTACTACTACTACTACTACTGCTGCTGCTGCTGCTACTACTACTGCTGCTGCTGCTGCTACTACTACTACTACTGCTGCTACTACTACTACTACTGCTGTTGCTGCTGATGCTACTACTACTGCAACTACTACTGCTGCTGCTACTACTACTACCACTACTACTATTACTACTACAGCTGCTACTGCTAGTGCGACTACCACTACTACTACTGCTGCTACTGTTACTACTACTACCACTACTACAGCTGCTACTGCTGCTACTACTACTACTACTACTACAGCTGCTACTGCTAGTGCGACTACTACTACTGCTACTGCTGCTACTGCTACTACCACTACTACTACAGCTGCTACTACTACTGCTACTACTACTACTACAGCTGCTGCTACTACTACTACTGCTGCAACTACTACTGCTACTACTACAACTACTACGACTACTTTAGCTGCAATGTTGATGAGTGAAACACACAAACCAAACACCAAAGTACTACTAGTACTAGCACGAGTGCCATCTATTTTGCCATCAAACTTTTGCTGCATACACATGACATTGTGTTCAAATATGTGCATCAATTGCTTATGCATATTTAATGCCCATCGATTCAATTATCTCCTGACATTCCGAAAACATGCCAAAAAATTACGCCGATGTCGATGTTGTTTTCCTTTCAATGCTGGTCCCATATCGTGGTTTAGGTGATGCAATTATTTTCTTTTATGGTGAATTAAAGCTGCCCATTATAAATTCATCAAGTCCATAAAAGCATGTTTACAGTTCGGAAGCTGTCGTCAGGATTGTAGTTACTATATTTACTGGCTGTGACTTTCTCCCCGTAATGAATTGACTTGATTCAATATATCGCCATGTTGACTCGGTAATACCATTGTTTCATACTCCATCATATTCCATTATAATGTCGCCGGAGAGACTGGAGATAAGCATTATCTGCGTGAGTGACATGTGACTTACGACATCATGCATTGTGTCTGTAACGCATGCATGATAATGCATCCTTTATATTGCCCCAAACAATGGCGTGTATATTTCCTGTTGGCTTGTAATTACTTGTAGTTTTCGCCTAAAAATCTATGTTCGTAATTTCATGATACCTGATCCTGTATTTATCATAAGGTAATCGATAATCAATAAAGTCTTGTTACCGTATTTCCTTTTGTAAGGTTCCAAGAATGCATTTCGGCGAAGACTAAGTACGCAATTTCAAAAACATTTCCTTAAAATGTCCATGATCTCAAAGTCCAGTTTTCGGTATGTATAGAGTGAAAGAGCAAGTATGCTTTTTTTAAGCAAAATTCAAGCCATATCACGGAAGGGGACACCAGAAATGGGGATCACACATTATACCCATGTGGGGAATCGAACTCGGGTCATAGGCGTGACGAGCGAACACTTTAACCACTAGGCTAGCCCACCGCCCCCTCTGTGCACAGAGTGAATATATATAGATATAGGACATTTTTACACAACGCATCATTGTGGTCTTACTCAGTCGCCATACGACATGGGCGTATGCTTTCTTTAGCCCAGCAGGTTATCCAGAAGTACCGGTACTTGATACCACTTACTCGGTCACTGTTCGATTCTGAGGTATCTAAACTGCAAATAATTCGATCGTTGTCCTTAATTGCATAATGCAGGCATGCTTATTATACATCGAAAAAGACCAACTGCAGCGCAATCAAGAAATAATCCATTATGATGAATGACTTGATAATCTAAGGAAATAACATGCTTGAACGAGTAATGTTGAACTTCCTTACACCATGTGTTTTAGTCATAGCACCCTTCCTCGTTTTGCAATCACAAGAGGTACAGCTAGGATACTTTCGATCGCTAAAGAAAGGATATTTTTTCTGTCATCTTAGACTTATCGATAGTTCGGCTACCACCTAGAAGATAGACAAAAGGCTTTCGATAAAGGGAAGGAGTTCGTATTCAAAGGGCTATCAGAATGTACACGAGAGGCCTTAAAATTTTTAATAACAAAGTCAGGCAAACTTTCATCCAAGAAGTAAGCGTGAAGAGGGAAGCGAACCAGAGACAACCAGGAAGGAAAAAGACTTCCGCTAACTCAACCTCTTCAGTTAAGATTCCGTTTGTGTAGAGTGTTAAATGACTCATGAAAGTGATGTGAATTTCTTAATAACTGATTGATATATACACGAAATTAGGTTAAGAACACAGTCCATAGTAACGTTCGTACAGGGCGTAATAACGTTCATACTGGGCGCAGTGACGTTCGTACAGGGCGTAATAACGTTCATACTGGGCGCAGTGACGTTCGTACAGGGCGTAATAACGTTCATACTGGGTGCAGTGACGTTCGTACCGGGCGTAATAACGTTCATACTGGGAGCACTGACGTTCGTATATGTCGTAGGACGTTCGTACAAAGCGTAACAACGTTTATACTAGGCACAGTGATGTTCGTATATGTTGTAGTGACAGTCGTAGAGGGAGTAATAACGTCCATACTTGGCGCAGTGATGTTCGTACATATCTAGTGACGTCCGAACAGGGCGTAACAACGTTCATACTGGGCGCAGTGACGTTCGTACATGTCGTAGTGACGTTCGTACAGGGAGTAATAACGTTCATACTGGGTGCAGTGATGTTCGTATTTGTCGTAGTGACGTTCGTACAGGGCGTAATAACGTTCATACTGGGCGCAGTGATGTTCGTACATGTCGTAGTGACGTTCGTACAGTTCGTAATAACGTTCATACTGGGTGTAGTGATGTTCGCATATGTCGTAGTGACGTTCGTACAGTTCGTAATAACGTTCATACTGGGTGTAGTGATGTTCGCATATGTCGTAGTGACGTTCGTACAGGGCGTAGTGACGTTCATACTGGGCGCAGTGATGTTCATACTAGGTGTAGTGATGTTCGTATATGTCGTAGTGGCGTTCGAACAGGGCGTAGTAACGTTCATACTGGGCGCAGTGATGTTCGTACAGGGCGTAATAACGTTCATACTAGGTGTAGTGATGTTCGTATATGTCGTAGTGGCGTTCGTACAGGGCGTAGTGACGTTCATACTGGGCGCAGTGATGTTCGTACAGGGCGTAATAACGTTCATACTGGGTGCAGTAACGTTCGTATATGTCGTAGTGGCGTTCGTACAGGGCGTAGTGACGTTCATACTGGGTGTAGTGATGTTCGCATATGTCATAGTGACGTTCGTACAGGGCGTAGTGACGTTCATACTGGGCGCAGTGATGTTCGTACATGTCGTAGTGACGTTCGTACAGGGCGTAATAACGTTCATACTAGGTGTAGTGATGTTCGTATATGTCGTAGTGGCGTTCGTACAGGGCGTAGTAACGTTCATACTGGGCGCAGTGATGTTCGTACAGGGCGTAATAACGTTCATACTGGGTGCAGTAACGTTCGTATATGTCGTAGTGGCGTTCGTACAGGGCGTAGTGACGTTCATACTGGGCACAGTGATGTTCGTACATATCGTAGTGACGTTCGAACAGGGCGTAGTGACGTTCATACTGGACGAAGGGACACTTACAGTGGGTCGAGTGAGGTTCATAATGAGCATAGTGACGTAATGTGAGGGCACCGTCTCATGAATAGAGGACGAAGATACATGCATTATTAATGTAACATATAGACAACACAGCCACGTATATACAGCGTAATGCCCGCAGAGGGCCTAATCACGTATACATAATGCAATGTATGGTGGACGTAATCTGATTTCCTAATTTCGTTCTATTCATAGTTTTGGGTCAATCTGTATTTTACTTGGACATTCAGCACATCGTTGAGAGGGTTTGGTTTTTGTTACGCAACTTTTTTTAAGAGTGAGTGAGTGAGTTTAGTTTTACGCCGCTTTTAGCAATATTCCAGCAATATCACGGCGGGGGACACCAGAAATGGGCTTAACACATTGTACCCACGTGGGGAATCGAACCCGGGTCTTCGGCGTGACGAGCCAACGCTTTAACCACTAGGCTACCCCACCGCCCCACTTTTTTTAAGAAAGAGTTAAGATAAGGTATTCTGAATTTACATGATACCCTTAATAATTTTGCTTGAAGATATGAAATGATGGAAATTCGGATAATATATAATTATGATACTTGCTCTGCCTTGAAACAGCATAGTTAACTGGAAAGTCTTTATATGAATGTATGTGTATCGCCAACGTCATTAAATAACCAACAATATAATGAGAAACACATAACACGAAGGGATGCTTTCTCAGTTACCTAATATAAAAGAGCTGTTTAGTGACAATGCATTAACGAAGTACACAAAATGTACTTCTAATATCTCACGAGTCCATGTTAAACAAGAGATGCTTACCAACACAAAGGTTATGGGGACACATTATTAAAGAGGTACTTATATCATGTTATACGTGTACTTACCTATACAATATAAAAAGGGTACTCACTTACATCATGTTGAACGAGTAAACATGTTCAACCGTTACAATATTACAGAGACACTTACCTACAAGAAGAGTGAGCCAGATAAAAACACACAGTGAATCTCTCGGTCTCCAAGTCATCTGCAACACAAGTACAGACTGTTCAGTCGACATAATGACAACATGATTCTGGGGAGGTTAAGTTAGATTAAACATACAGGATGTTTAAGATCAAGAATTGGTTTTTCTTTTTTATGGTCGCCGAATCAACATAAGCTTAATTATCTCGACCGGCTCCATGATATCAGGTCTCAGGAACGAACATTATGTCATCAACATTACACACATCTGGCTTATCCTCAACGCATTAGCAATCATAACGATTGCCAGGGGCATTCCTTTACTCTCATAGGCCTTCATAAGTAACAATACCCGTGAAGGTCCGGGTTAGAATGTTGATCTTCAGTAACCCATGCTTGTCGTAAGAGGTGACTAACGGGATCGGGTGGTCAGGCTCGCTGGCTTGGTTGACACATATCATCAGTTCACAGTTGCGCAGATCGAAGCTCATGCTGTTGATCACTGGATTGTCTGGTCCAGACTTGATTATTTACAGACCGCCGCCATATAGCTGGAATATTGCTAAGTGCGGTGAAAAACTAAACTCACTCATCACTCATAAATACCATAAACATTATCATAAATGTCATGACTACCAGAACGAAACATCAGAAACAATGAATTTACAGTTTTAAGAACAGTTATCAGAGCAGTATGGGAAACAACATTGAAATGCATTTCATTATAATATTTGTTTAAAATTGCTTCCCTCAGACTTGAATCCTATGTCGTGGGTTCCAAATTAGTATTCGTCCTGATTATAAAGTTTCAAGTGGTTAAAGGCGGACTATCTTATCATTAGCTGTTTGTTGTTGTTGTTTGACGCCGTAGTCAGCAATATTCCAGCTGTATGGCGGCGCTCTGTAAATAATCAATAGCATGAGCATCGATCTACCGTCGGTCACTTATGTAACGAAGCGGCGTAGAGCAACACTTTTCAGTCACTTACTGACAACATCAACCATCAACCATTTCGTCATGTGAACAAACACTACTCATGACTTGCTTTGTTCATTTAATTGGTTGTTTGTTGTGCATTGGCAATCATCTGGGGATGATTAGTTTCTTAAGCAAGCCTATAGCCGTGCTTGACAGCCCATTGGTGCAAATGCAGATGATAGTCTTGTCATTTGCAGCAAGCACATTGAGAAGGACCATATTCCTAGACCTTAATAGTCGTAGCTGTTTTTCGTGATCAAACGTTTCACGAACACCTGGTGTCATCTTTTTTGAAGCAATTGCCTCTTTAAAACTGTCTCGTTCATTGATTTAGACACGTAAATCATATTCCTAAATCCCATGTAAGCTTTGCTTGTTCTGTTTTGTCCTTTCACTGACGGAACACACACATTATCTAGTAGAGTTAAGGTAAAGCATGTAGGAAATTACTTTTCAGCATCAATATATCTTAACAACAGACACGACAAAACCCTTTCCACATCCTGAAATCGATTGTACAGTTGTGGCTATATCGTCATTATGTGTTTGTTTGACGCCGCCTTCAGTAGTATTACCGTTGTACGACGCGGTGTGTAAACACTCGAGTCTGGACCAGACATAATATAAAATCATTTAGACTGATTTTACAAATGTTTTGCTTTGTTAGATGATAATAAAGCAGTGTTTGTCTTTTAAATATTTACAATAGCTTACCTTTGGGCTCTGTTGTATTGAGCTATACCAGTTTTGTGAAAAGTTGAGTTTTTTATCAGCCTTTGAAACTAGCCATGGAGAATAGGCAAGGGTTCTTGAAAACGCCAGTCCACAATTATTTCACAATTCAAAAACAATGTCTGTGTTAGATGATAATATTTCCCCGTACTATCAAACGTTAGAAAGCGGTATAAAGGAGTTGTAAGCCAACATTGTGTTTCGAGTCCTCATTTTATGCATTGAGCACAGTGTACAAGACAAATACTCATTGGGAATAATAACTACTCATTATTCTACCTCTTAATGATAATAACGGTATTATTAATATTCAGATTAATAAGGGGCGGTTGGGTAGTCTAGTGGTTAAAGCGTTGGCTCATTACGCCGAAGACCCGGGTTCGATTCCTCACATGCGCACAATGTGTGAAACCCATTTCTTGTGTTTCCCGCCGTGATATGACTGGAATATTGCTAAAATCAGCGTAAAACTAAAATCACTGACTCAGATTAAACCCTGACATGTATGAGGCGCAGGGTAGGTTTTAAAAATGACGATAAATTATTCATTTCAGGAACTCCCGGCCGTGTGTTTTTTGTGAAAACGAAGGCGTACCTTCAAGCAGCTATATATCAGTAAGAGCCGTCAGCTGATATTGATCTAGCATGCAGATAAAACTGATAATACAGAGTAACCTGCCACTCAGGATTGTTAACCGTTCCAAAAAATGTCTGTCACGTGAGATGTTCTCACCAGACAACCTTTCAATGTAGCTTCGTAAATATAGAATGGTTCATCTTTTTAAGATGGAACCACCTTAACATGGAAGGTTAAATAAACGATTATTTGTTTCTTTACGATGCTGTCATCGTGATACTGATTTCCATCAGCACGACTTCGAAATCAACAACCCAACAGTCATTGATCGTTAAAGATGATTTAAACGAACAATATATGTTTATCAATGACAAAACAGACTAAGTCGTGTAACAGCACCAGACGTGTAAAGAGTGCATAACAACGAAGCACAGTGCACATGATGCAGCAACACATAAGATCCTGTGAATGTAAAAAAACTAAATTGATCTTCAGCAAACCGTGCTTGTTTGAGGGGACAAGCAGGATTGGATGGTCAGTCTGACCTGACCTGGCATCGTAGATCGATACTCGTGAGATTTATTGGATGGTTCGGTACAGACGGGTATATTGACAGGCCGGCCTCACCGGTAAACAAAGAAATAAACAAAGCAACGCATCATACCATCACAACGTATTGTAATCTTGTAAGAGTTTTAAGATGTAGCCAAACAACATTTCCTGAGAATGAATGAATGAATACCCTTTGCATAAGTCATTGTGCATTTCGGTCTTTACTATCAACATGAGTCTATGAATCCAGGTGATTCCAAATTATGAACAGATAACCAGCACCACTGGTAAGTTTTTTGCCACAAGAATCCCAAGTAAACAACAACCGTCCCCACAACGCCCCGCCCCCTCCCCCACAACAACAACAACAAAACAACCCCCAAAACAAACCAACAACAACAAAACAAAAACAAAAACCACCCCCAAAACCCCAAAACCAAAATAAAAACCCCACACCACCCCAAACCCCAAAACAAACAAACAAAAAACCCATACAAACAAAAAACAAACAAAAACAAAACAACAAAGATAAGATAAAACCAAAAACAAAACAACAAAACAACACAACAACAAAACAAAACAACACAAACAAAACGAAACAAACAACCTCCCCCAAACCCCCCCAACAAACAACGAAAAAAAAAACAAAACTAAACAAACAAAGAACAAAACAAACTAAACAAAAAAGGAACCACACAAAAAGCAAACAACAAAACAAAACAAAACACAGTGTCATCCTCCCCAATCAAGAACTACCAAAAGAGGCCAAATTCAAAATATGGATGTACTCCAGCCAGATACAGGATGAAACATGTTCTTGGTCAACAAAGTTTACGGTATTTCCGTATTTGTGGAATGACAGCATGCCACATAGAGCATATATTCACCACCCAGAAATAATGGTAAGACCTTATAGTGGTAAGACCTTGATTCGATTCCCATTTCCAGTGTCCCTCGCCGTGATACTGCTGGACTATAACTAAAAGCGGAGTAAAACTATACTCCCTCCCGCATTCATCACCCAATCACTGGCATAATTTGACTGGCTAACATTAGCAACCATAAAACGGGCAGAAACAACAAATGGAGAGCTCTGATGTTCAGGTCCAACTTCAGTAAATAGACACAATGAATATGAGATTATATCAGCAGAAGAGTTCAGGGCCTCCTTTCACAAAGCACTAAGGTGATCGTAAGTCACTAAGGTAACCTTAGAGCAATGTTAAAGAATGGGAGTTCAGGTTAACCTTAGTAAAGGTTGCTTCGTGAAAGGAGCCCCTGATATTCAGTGTAAGCTTATGTAAGTAGAGACATTGACTGTAAGATATTGCAGCAGAAGAATTCTGATGTTCAGTTCCAACTTAAGTAAATAGACACATTGACTATGAGAGTATTCCAGCAGAAGAGTTCTGATGTTCAGTGTAAACTTAAGCCAGCAGAAACATTGACTATAAGAATTTTTTTGCAGAAGTGTTTCTATGTTCATTCTATACATATGTAAGTAGACGCATTGACTGTAAAAGACAAAGCTATTTAAGGGTTGGATCTTGCACCCACGAGAAACGGACAAGGCGTAGCTCTCTCGAACATCGGGATAAAACAAGGAGATTTTTATTGAAATCAGTTTCTCTACTTCTTACAAACCCTTAAAAAACGTTCAGAGTTTTTAAAATGTTCAAACTGCGTTTTTACCCAAGAGAATAATTATTATAATATATAGATTCAAAGTGCGCTTTAAACCCACAGAATGATTAATATACAGATTCAATTTGAGCATTTAATATAGAGAAAAATTACTATACAGATTAAAATTACGCATTTACTGTAAAGAATAATTAAATATAAAAATCCCTTTGTGTAATAATATTCAATACATTGGCTAAATGTTGCATGTTGTAAATACTGTACATCAATAGTCGGGTTTCATTTTATGTTAAACATACAACAATGCAAGGAAGGATAACAATGTATGGATGAACTTCTTTGATACAGTTAGAGCGACGTTTTGGTGTAGGTTCCAACACAGTTATCAAGCAAGTGATGACGGTGTTTTGAACCTACACCGAAACATCGCTCTCACTGTATCAAAGAAGTTATTCACCCATATATTGTTATCCTTCCTTACTGCTCCAACTTCTGGAGCTGCATTTCACAGTTATACAGCAATGTGTTTAATGACATTGTCCAACTTAATTTCTTGAGTGAGTGAGTGAGTATGGTTTTACGCCGCTTGAACAATATTCCAGCAAAAATGGGCTTCACACATTGTACCCATGTGGGGAATAGAACCCGGGTCTTTGGTGTGACGAGCGAACGCTTTAACCACTAGGTTACCCCAGCGCCCCCATAGTTTCTTGATGTTCACAATATTAGCTCATGGGCTCAAAGTCTAAATACACCTGTTCATTAACGCGAACCATTTTGTTGTAAGGTTGATCACATTAAACAAAGCGATCTTTATGGACATTTGTATAACGCATAGCCTAAACAACAAGGTTTACAATACCTTTTCTGGCTTGATTCCGATACCAGCTGTTTCCCAATCCTCTGTTATTTCCCTCCTAAAAAATGCAAACCGGCTAGTTGTCACCAATGGAAATGTCAAACGGATCGATGAACATGCTCTGGCTGTCCTCTCATGAAACAAGATATGTCACCCTTTGTCTTGTTCTTGAAACAAGTTATCCAAGTTCTTCCTCATAAGAGCTTATCACCAAGTCAATGATGTTGTTCTCTCGATTGGTCATCCGGACATAAAGGTAAGTGGCATCGTCACGAACATTGACTGCCTGATTATTCACCGACAGTTTCCACACGCCTGACAGGAGCTATCTGTAACTTTGACAAATATCTTCCAAGAGGAAACGTTTACCTGGATAGCAGGATACTACACAGTCCCAAAGGAGCTTCTGTCACGGTTGACTGTCAACACCTACCTCACGTCATCTGAGATATCACTGTGTGTTAGGCGCGGGTATTCACTTGAGCTATCGATTGACAGATTCGGAACTTGATGTTGTTCGATAGATGTCAAGCTATACATTATACATTGCGGGTATATATTGTAAAGGTCCACGACGATAGGGCTGGCACAACGGGTCAGAGTGTTCCCAGCTCGGAGAGTAGGTTTCCTAAATAACCCAAATTAGACAAATACTGACTACACGTGATGCTTTTCTGGTCTTTCAACAATTTACGATTTGGCGTTATAATGGTATAATTAAATTATTCAACCTCAGGTGTCATAGAATATGTTTGAAAATTGTAGTTGCACCCACTAATAGCTCCAAGTAACAATGCATTCGGACCCATCGATCAAAGCTACTTTCAATAAAACGAAAAAAGCATTTTCCATTTCAAAACGATATGATCGCTCACATCCAATCATACAGACAATGTAGAGTGTCAACGTAAGAGGTGAGGTGAGGTGAAATTGGGTTTAACGTCGTGCTTGAAAATATTTCGCTCATATGACGACGGGCATGCGCGTGTATGTGTATGTGCGGCTGCTTGTACTAACCCAGACTGAAGCTGTTTTTTATAGTGCTAGCCCACTGAAATTCCATGACGCAGTGAAGCATGAATACCCCACTCAGACACATTATATTGACTCCGAGCCGACCAGTCCTTGTTGTACCCATTAATGCCGAGCGCCAGGCAGGGACCAACAAGTACCATATTTTAACGTCTTTTTGGTATGACGCGGTCGGGGATCGAACCCGCGACCTTCCGTTCTCCGGGCGGACGCTCTAAGCACTACACCACGGAAGCGGTCCGCAACGTAAGAGAGGAAGCAGTCTTGAGTTTCCGCCGGAACTGATTCTTTTTGGGGTAAAAGGAAAACAGGTTTTAGATATATATGTGTGGGAGACTAGAAATCAGTGATGACACCAGGTGTTCGCGATAAGGGTATTACAACAATCAGAGACTGAACTGACAACACTATATGTATACAGTGGACTCTGTATAATCCGACACTCACTGGGACCGGGAAAAAATGTCGGATTATACAGACTGTTGGATATTTCAATGTCTCTTCCTTGAATTCATGTACTTTTCAAACAGTACCATACATCGTAACTGGCTTATGTCATGAAATTAAAGCTGAACAGCTATTTTCTTGGTAAATAAAGGGGAAAAACAAATTCTGTATTTACATGTACAGAATATCATTGGATATATTATCTTCAGTACACTATCATACATGTACTACTTTCACAATCACATTCAATATTAACTGATCCCTTTTCTCAGCCCATTCGTCCTATGCTTGACAAAACATACCTGAACTGAACTTTTATTCACTCAGGCTGCAAACTGCAGCATAAGAGGTACATAAATAATATTTACATTTATATACAACATAAAAAGTATATACAAACGGTATGATAGGTGCAATGTATATCGAGCTAGTTACATATTAAGTAAATGAAATTATTTCTTAAATAAAGCCATAATTATTTTACAAAAGATTGAGAGTTTTCTTAAAGTTATAACATATTTTATACATATTTGGTCTAATATAATAATACTTCTGGATATATGTTTCTCTTTCTAATTCTAATTTGGGACATATAAATGAATAATGAAATTCGTCATCAATATCATTTAGGTTACACATAGTACAGCTAGGTCCTCACATTGACGACACAGCTTGTAAAAAACAAAGGTACAGGCGTATTACCTCCCAATTAGCAAGTGCTGGGACCAAGAGATTACCAGTAACAGGATGTTAGTTGTCAACTGGCCATTGACAGGTTGATTGTCTATTTTAGTCCAATATGGGAAGAGGCTGTCGGATTGTACAGATTATTAGTGTCATTGGGACCTGAAAATGGTGTCGGAATTCGGAATGTACAGATGTCGGATAATTCAATGTTTAAATGATGATAATATAAAAGAACGCTGCCGGGACCCAAAAAAATATGTCTGAATTCACAGATTGTCGGATAATTCAGATGTCGGATTATACAGAGTCCACTGTAATATGTCTTTAACAAGGAATGCGTATGTTTTGTTTAAATGTAATTGATCGAGAAGTCCTAATCACCAAAACATTTTAATCCTGGTGACTCTCCACTTGAAATTGAGTAAGCAAATAAGCATGCTTACAATCGTTAAAAGCTGTAACCGACTGATTGTCATGTGAAACGATATAAACAGACACAACTTGTTATGTTATAGTCACCTACAAAGCTGATAGCATGACGTACATTTCCTGTGAATGGACCTTGTCATGGATGAATGAATCTCGTGTAACAAATTGCACGATGTGTTTACAATTCGGAGCTTTGCGTGTTGTCGACTATTCCCACAATAGCGTGTAAATATCTGTAAAGTGTTTGTAACACGGAACACGGCTTTGCTGAATCATATTCGCACGAGTCTCATGGGTGTTTGAGAACAATATTTTAGTTAACTTGAGGAATCAATTACTGAAACTAATGTAGATACATTTGTCCGTGTGAGGGTTTGCGCAAAACATTTGAATATACATGATATAAAAGCAGTAACCGATCGATATAGGTGGACCATGTCCTTAGATGAATCCTTTTTCCTTCTTAAGATTTTGATGCGTCTGTGTCGAGGCTACTATGGCCCTGGTTCTAGGCTATCACGGCCCTGGCTCCGGGCTTTGATGATCCTGGTTTTAGGCTGTTATATACCTGATGGTATGATGGTCCTTGCTCGAGGCTATGATGGTCGTGGCCAACAAGGCTTGCCAATAGGACAACGAATGGTTGCCAGTATTTTGTTCCGATAGTACTGTCCAGTATTTCAATAATACGTGTACAATATGGCGTTGGGTTCACTCAGTCAAAACCCACCCCAGAGTATTACCGATCCATCACCAAATCTGTCATAAGGTCTCTTAACATTATTCATCGTTCATTTCGACGTCTCCAGACCCAATCACCCGTATCGAGGAAGTGCAAAGTGTGAACCATCTGAAAACTTGACAGGTGATGAGCAACGATTTTCCGCGTCTCGATGATCTGTAAGGTGCGGCACAACACGTGGCCGTCTAACATGGAGGTGAACTGCATGTAGACAACTCCTAAACTCCTGACCCATAGCCCGTACTCTGATGAATGTTTGCAACAAGTTGATCAACCGTTTCAACTCGATTTTATAAACAATTTCGAATGAATCAATCTTGTACTCCAGAGGTTGACCTAGGACCTTCAGAACGGGGTCGATCATGAACGGTTCTTGTTCGTTCTTTCAACACTCTGCTAATCATAGACTTTGAAACTTGGACATTATTGGTTACTTTGACATTGTCCAGCTTGCCAGAATCCCATAGTAGCCAGCAAACGCTACATCCTTAGTTCATACACAAACAATGAATGAAATCAAATAAACCGCAACTGTATGACAAGCAGAGTCAATGAGAGTAACAGGAATAATGGTCGACAGAGGTAAACAGCAGCACCTGGAAACTAGCCGATTGCTTTTGGTTTTTTACGTTTTACAGACATAAACGATCTTGCATATAATGATTCCCGTCAACACTTTCCAATAAGTTGTTCTTACATTTGGCATTAACATTGATATGTCATGAGTTTGACTCTTGGTACTGACATACATACTTTATGATTTATACTTGGTATTACCATATACACATTATGATTTGCAGTTGGTATTAACATATGTACTTTATGATTTTGCACTTGGTATTAACATATGTACTTTATGATTTGCACTTGGTATTAACATATATACTTTATGATTTGCACTTGGTATTAACATATATACTTTATGATTTGCACTTGGTTTTATATATATACCTTATGATTTATACTTGGTATTAACATATGCACTTTATGATTTGCACTCGGTATTTACATATATGCTTTAAGATTTGCACTTTGTATTACAATATACACTTTATTATTTGCACTTGGCATTAACATACATACTTTATGATTTGCATTTGGTATTAACATATATATTTTATGATTGGTATTAACATATATACTTCATGATTTCTACTTGGTATTAACATAGATACTTTATGATTTGCCCTTGGTTTTAACATATATACTTTATGATTTATACTTGGTATTAACATATATACTTTATGATTTGCACTTGGTATTAACATATATACTTTATGATTTGCACTTGGTATTGACATATATCCTTTATGATTTGCACTTAGTATTGACACATATACTATATCATTTATACTTGCTAATATTATTAACGTTTCTCTGTCATGATTTCTCTTGGTTTATCATCTATACTTTATGATTGTCACTTGGTATTGTCATATACACTATATTATGTATACTTGCTAATATTATTAACATTTCTGTGTCGTGATTTCACTTCGTATATCGTCTATACTTTATGATTGTCACTTGGTATTGACATATACACTGTATTATGTATACTTGCTAATATTATTAACATTTTTGTGTCGTTATTTCACTTCGTATATCGTCTATACTTTATGATTGTCACTTGGTATTGACATATCCACTGTATTATGTATACTTGCTTATATAAGTAACATTTCTGTGTCGTGATTTCACTTGGTATATCTTCTATACTTTATGATTGTCACTTGATATTGACATATCCACTGTATTATGTATACTTGCTAATATAAGTAACATTTCTCTGTCATGATTTCACTTGGTATTATCATCTGTACTTCATGATTTATACTTGGTTTTGATCTTCATTCTTTATGATGGATACTTGATACCAAGTATATAACATTTATACTTTATGATGTGTCAGCCAAGCCAGCGAGCCTGACCACCCGATCTCGTTAGTCTACTCTTACGACAAGCATGGGTTACTGAAGACCAATTCCAACTCGGATCTTCACGGGTCTTATTGCTAAGAAACGAACATGGCGATTTATAAATATACTTGCAAGATTGGCATTTGGCCTGCAACAAACCATTACAAAGATTTACTGTGAATGCAGCAGTGAGATTACATTGAATAGCTAATGAAGAACAACGCATAGGTCGCTTTTCTTCTCCTTGAACTAATCATTCATCATTCACAACTTCCTCAGAGTTAAACATTTCATTTCCTGGCGCAA